GTACATTTGTAATAATATCTGAATGTGTACATTTGTAATATTATTCGAATGTGTACATTTTAATATTATCCGAATGTGTATATTTGTAATATTATTCGAATGTGTACATTTGTAATATTATCCTAATGTGTACATTTGTAATATTATTCGCGTCTCTACATTTGAGATATTATCCGAATGTGTACATTTGTAATATTATCCGAATGTGTACATTTGTAATATTATCCTAATGTGTACATTGGTGATATTATCCGAATGTGTACATTTGTGATATTATTCGAATGTTTACATTTGTAATATTATCCGAATGTGTACATTTGTGATATTATCCGAATGTGTACATTTGTGATATCATCCTAATGTGTACATTTGTGATATTATCCTAATGTGTACATTGATGATATTATCCGAATGTGTACATTTGTGATATTATCCGAATGTGTACATTTGTAATATTATCCTAATGTGTACATTTGTAATATTATCCGAATGTGTACATTTGTGATATTATCCTAATGTGTACATTTGTGATATTATCCGAATGTGTACATTGATGATATTATCCGAATGTGTACATTTGTAATATTATCCGAATGTGTACATTTGTAATATTATTCGCGAATGTGTACATTTGTAATATTATCCGAATGTGTACATTTGTAATATTATCCGAATGTGTACATTTGTAATATTATTCGCGTCTCTACATTTGAGATATTATCCGAATGTGTACATTTGTAATATTATCCGAATGTGTACATTTGTAATATTATCCGAATGTGTACATTTGTAATATTATCCTAATGTGTACATTTGTAATATTATTCGCGTCTCTACATTTGTGATATTATCCGAATGTGTACATTTGTAATATTTTTCGAATGTGTACATTTGTAATATTATCCTAATGTGTACATTTGAGATATTTTCCGAATGTGTACATTTGTAATATTATCCGAATGTGTACATTTGTAATATTATCCGAATGTGTACATTTGTAATATTATCCTGTGTACATTTGTAATATTATTCGAATGTGTACATTTGAGATATTATCCGAATGTGTACATTTGTAATATTATCCGAATGTGTACATTTGTAATATTATTCGCGTCTCTACATTTGAGATATTATCCGAATGTGTACATTTGTAATATTATCCGAATGTGTACATTTGTAATATTATTCGCGTCTCTACATTTGAGATATTATCCGAATGTGTACATTGATGATATTATCCGAATATGTACATTTGTGATGTTATACGAATGTGTACATTTGTGATATTATCCGAATGTGTACATTTGTAATATTATCCGAATGTGTACATTTGTAATATTATCCGAATGTGTACATTTGTGATATTATCCGAATGCGTACATTTGTAATATTATCCGAATGTTTACATTTGTAATATTATCCTAATATGTACATTTGAGATATTATCCGAATGTTCAATTTGTGATATTATCCGAATGTGTACATTCGTAATATTATCCGAATGTGTACATTTGTGATATTATCCGAATGTGTACATTTGTGATATTATCCGAATGTGTACATTTGTGATATTATCCGAATGTGTACATTTGTGATATTATCCTAATGTGTACATTTACGATATTATCCGAATGTGTACATTTGTGATATTATCCGAATGTGTACATTTGTAATATTATCCGAATGCGTACATTTGTAATATTATCCGAATGTGTACATTTGTAATATTACCTAATATGTACATTTGAGATATTATCCGAATGTTCAATTTGTGATATTATCCGAATGTGTACATTTGTAATATTATCCGAATGTGTACATTTGTAATATTATTCGCGTCTCTACATTTGAGATATTATCCGAATGTGTACATTTGTAATATTATCCGAATGTGTACATGTGTGATATTATCCGAATGTGTACATTTGTAATATTATCCGAATGTGTACATTTGTAATATTATAATAATGTGTACATTTGTAATATTATTCGAATGTGTACATTTGATATTAGATATTTATCCGAATGTGTACATTTGTAATATTATCCGAATGTGTACATTTGTAATATTATCCGAATGTGTACATTTGTAATATTATCCGAATGTGTACATGATGATATTATCCGAATGTGTACATTTGTGATGTTATACGAATGTGTACATTTGTGATATTATCCGAATGCGTACATTTGTAATATTATCCGAAAGTTTACATTTGTAATATTATCCTAATATGTACATTTGAGATATTATCCGAATGTGTACAATTTGTGATATTATCCGAATGTGTACATTTGTAATATTATCCGAATGTGTACATTTGTAATATTATCCATTTGTAATATTATCCGAATGTGTACATTTGTAATATTATCCGAATGTGTACATTTGTAATATTATCGAATGTGTACTAATGTGTACATTTGTACATTTGTGATATTATCCGAATGTGTACATTTGTAATATTATCCGAATGTGTACATTTGTAATATTATCCGAATGTGTACATTTGTGATATTATCCGAATGTGTAATGTGTACATTGTACATGATATTATCCGAATGTGTACATTTGTAATATTATCCGAATGTGTACATTTGTAATATTATCCGAATGTGTACATTTGTAATATTATATTATCCGAATGTGTACATTTGTACATTTATGATATTATCCGAATGTGTATATTTCCGAATGTGTACATATATTATCCGAATGTGTACATTTGTAATATTATCCGAATGTGTACATTTGTAATATTATCGAATGTGTACATTTGAGATATTATCCGAATGTGTACATTTGTAATATTATCCGAATGTGTACATTTGTAATATGTGTACATTTGTGATATTATCGAATGTGTACATTTGTATATTAAATGTGTACGAATTATCCGAATGTGTACATTTGTGATATTATCCGAATGTGTACATTTGTAATATTTTCCGAATGTGTACATTTGAATGTGTATTATCCGAATGTGTACATTTGTAATATTATTCGAATCTCTACCTGAATGTGTACATTTGATATTATCCGAATGTGTACATTTGAATTATTATCGAATGTGTACATTGTGTGATATTATCCGAATGTGTACAGTGGTCCTAATGTGTACACGCAACGATATTATCCGAATGTGTACATTTGTAATATTATCCGAATGTGTACATTTGTGATATTATCCGAATGTGTACATTTGTAAACCTTAAATGATAGTAAGGCTTTGTTCGCCTGTTGTTGGTATAATGTGACATTTGTGGTAGCATTTACCTATTAGTAAATACAGTGATATTTTACTTTCGGAACAAGGAATTACCGGGTTATGACAGATAGTCACCTTATACTTTAATATTTTGTTATGGCATTCAGTGAGATGATACTGATGGGTCGCCATATCACCTTTACACAATTTGACGACATTTGTTAAGAATCGATGTTGTATTATGTCGATCTCATTATCTTTAGGTCACTTTTCTCACCATCACTACCTAAAAGAAGCCTTTGTTAGAGAGAATCAAATCGATATTACCACACGTGAAGGCGACCTTGTTTTAACGCCTACAGATCTATATCCGTGATATATATATCATTATAATCATGATGAATGGCAGATGACCAATACAATGCTGTCTGTAAATGTTTCCTGGTTACAAGTTAAAGTACACAGAAATCCTTATAAACCTTCTCACGGGTCCTATATGTCAACCGGCTCAGATGTTACTGGGTAGCCCAGATGTTACTGGGTAGGTCAGATGTTACTGGGTAGCTCAGGTGTTACTGGGTAGCTCAGAGGTCACTGGGTAGCTCAGATGTTACTGGGTAGTTCAGATGTTACTTGGTAGCTCAGATGTTGCTGGTAACTAAGATGTTACTGGGTAGCTCAGATGTTGCTGGTAGCTCAGTTGTTACTGGGTAGCTCAGATGTTGCTGGTAGCTCAGTTGTTACTGGGTAGCTCAGATGTTGCTGGTAGCTCAGATGTTACTGGGTAGCTCAGATGTTGCTGGTAACTCAGATGTTGCTGGTAGCTCAGATGTTGCTGGTAACTCAGATGTTACTGGGTAGCTCAGATGTTGCTGGTAGCTCAGATGTTACTGGGTAGCTCAGATGTTGCTGGTAACTCAGATGTTGCTGGTAGCTCAGTTGTTACTGGGTAGCTCAGATGTTGCTGGTAGCTCAGTTGTTACTGGGTAGCTCAGATGTTGCTGGTAGCTCAGATGTTGCTGGTAGCTCAGATGTTACTGGGTAGCTCATATGTTGCTGGTAACTCAGATGTTGCTGGTAGCTCAGTTGTTACTGGGTAGCTCAGATGTTGCTGGTAACTCAGATGTTGCTGGTAGCTCAGATGTTGCTGGTAACTCAGATGTTGCTGGTAGCTCAGAAGTTGCTGGTAACTCAGATGTTCCGTGGTGTAGTAATCAGGTCGTTCAGGTAGAGAGAATCAAATCGATATTACCACACGTGAAGGCGACCTTGTTTTAACGCCTACAGATCTATATCCGTGATATATATATCATTATAATCATGATGAATGGCAGATGACCAATACAATGCTGTCTGTAAATGTTTCCTGGTTACAAGTTAAAGTACACAGAAATCCTTATAAACCTTCTCACGGGTCCTATATGTCAACCGGCTCAGATGTTACTGGGTAGCCCAGATGTTACTGGGTAGGTCAGATGTTACTGGGTAGCTCAGGTGTTACTGGGTAGCTCAGAGGTCACTGGGTAGCTCAGATGTTACTGGGTAGTTCAGATGTTACTTGGTAGCTCAGATGTTGCTGGTAACTAAGATGTTACTGGGTAGCTCAGATGTTGCTGGTAGCTCAGTTGTTACTGGGTAGCTCAGATGTTGCTGGTAGCTCAGTTGTTACTGGGTAGCTCAGATGTTGCTGGTAGCTCAGATGTTACTGGGTAGCTCAGATGTTGCTGGTAACTCAGATGTTGCTGGTAGCTCAGATGTTGCTGGTAACTCAGATGTTACTGGGTAGCTCAGATGTTGCTGGTAGCTCAGATGTTACTGGGTAGCTCAGATGTTGCTGGTAACTCAGATGTTGCTGGTAGCTCAGATGTTGCTGGTAGCTCAGATGTTGCTGGTAACTCAGATGTTGCTGGTAGCTCAGAAGTTGCTGGTAACTCAGATGTTCCGCGGTGTAGTAATCAGGTCGTTCAGGTAGACTCCGTTCCCAAATGACCCTGGTTAAAAAAGCAGAGCGATAAAACCCCAAAACAAAGTTAAGTGATACTGAAGTGTATGGTTCTGGGCGAGGTGAAAGATTAAGAAGAAAATAAAATTGTCCACCAAAAAACAAAAATCTCAAAAAAAGAAACGAGGGTAAAACATTGAAAATAAATTAATGAATAAGATTATAAAATGTAAGCACACTTCTCCTCTGATTAAAGCTTAAATGAAAATAAGGTTAACAACGAAACCACCAGGCACACTGAAAACATTGAACACATTTCATATCATATCGCACAAAAAATGACATATATTGTACCAATGAGATAATGTTGACAACCATAATGGTTCCCCATAATCTTTATCGACTTGAAGTAACCGAAGTCATGGGTTGTAAATGTTGACATCTTAAGGCCAAGGATCATGTCTGTGAATATCGGATATCGGTTTAACTACGACATATAAACAACATAGGTTGAAGAAATCGAAATATTACTATCTAGAAATGGAAAATTCAAAATAGGAACTTCGAAACCATTATCAGGCTTGTCATAAAAGTTTATGGAGAGTGGTAGTTGTTGGTTTCGCTGCAGTAAAAGATAGAGATAGAAGCGATTAATGTATATTTTACATTACCTCAGTACGATGAATTTGTCAATAAAATATTCGCTAAAACAATACATCATCAATGTATCTAGAAGCGACATTGAAGGACTGACAAGGTCGTTCGGAAGGAGATACTTTAGAAGATGTTAATCTTCAGCACAAACAGTCTAAACTCAGTTTTCAGTCACTGTGTTTGTAAAAAGATAAACATTTTCTAAAACTGACGAGGCCATTGTCTCGTTTTGTGAAGTCATGAATATGCGTGACAGTATTACATTAAAGACATAATTTTTCATATCATAACACGTAACAAGGAAAATATAAGTGGGTAGTTAGATATCGAGTGTTAAACCTGCTAGACATTCATGCAGACCGAAAAAAAAAAAAAAAAAAATTGGCACAGAAGACCTTCCTGTCTGTATTTTAGTAGGTTTTTTACGTTGCTTTTTTCATGTTTTTATCTCTCGCCTGCTAGATAACATAAGAAATAAGATAAGTGCGGGAAGAATTAGAGTACACAGATAAAATGTTTATATGCTTCGTGTTATCAGGCCATTTTGGTGTTACAGGGTGGTTCAGATGTTACTGGGTAGCTCAGATGTTGCTGGGTAGCTCAGCTGTTACTGGGTAGCTCAGATGTTGCTGGGTAACTCAGATGTTACTGGTAGCTCAGATGTTGCTGTTAGCTCAGATGTTGCTGGTAGCTCGGATGTTACTGAGTAGAACAGATGTTGCTGGTAGCTCGGATGTTACTGGGTAGCTGAGATGTTGCTGGTAGCTCAGATGTTAGTGGGTAGCTAAGATATTGCTGTTAGCTCAGATGTTGCTGGAAGCTCCGATGTTGCTGGGTAGTTCAGATGTTGCTGGTAGCTCGGATGTTACTGAGTAGCTCAGATGTTGCTGGGTAGCTCAGATGTTACAAAGTAGCTCAGATGTTGCTGGGTAGCTCAGATGTTAGTGGGTAGCCAAGATATTGCTGTTAGATCAGATGTTGCTGGTAGCTCAGATGTTGCTGGTAGCACAGATGTTGCTGGGTAGCTCAGATGTTGATGGTAGCTCAGATGTTTCTGGTAGCTCGGATGTTACCGGGTAGCTCAGATGTTGCTGGTAGTTCAGATGATACAAGGTAGCTCAGATGTTGCTGGGTAACTCAGATGTTACTGGTAGTTCAGATGTTGCTGGTAGCTCAGATGTTACTGTTGGCTCAGATTTTGCTGGTAGTTCGGATGTTACTGGGTAGCTGAGATGTTGCTGGGTAACTCAGATGTTACTGGTAGCTCAGATGTTGCTGGTAGCTCAGATGTTACTAGTAGCTCAGATGTTACTAGTAGCTCAGATGTTACTGGTAGCTCAGATGTTGCTGGTAGCTCGGATGTTACTGAGTAGAACAGATGTTGCTGGTATGTTCAGATGTTGCTTCAGATGTTGCTGGTAGCTCAGATGTTGCTGGTAGTTGTTACTGGTAGTAGATCAGATGTTGCAGATGTTGCTGGTAGCTCAGATGTTGCTGGTAACTCAGATGTTGCTGGTAGCTCAGATGTTGCTGCTCAGATGTTACTGGGTAGCTCAGATGTTGCTGGTAGCTCAGATGTTGCTGGGGTAGCTCTGGTAGCTCAGATGTTGCTGGTAGCTCAGATGTTAGCTAAGATATTGCTGTTAGCTCAGATGTTCAGATGTTAGTTCAGATGTTGCTGGTAGCTCGGATGTTACTGAGTAGCTCAGATGTTGCTGGGTAGCTCAGATGTTACTGGGTAGCTCAGATGTTGCTGGTAGCTCAGATATTAGTGGGTAGCCAATATATTGCTGTTAGATCAGATGTTACTGGTAGCTCAGATGATGCTGGTAGCACAGATGTTGCTTGGTAGCTCAGATGTTGCTGGTAGCTCAGATGATACAAGGTAGCTCAGATGTTGCTGGGTAACTCAGATGTTACTGGGTAGCTCGGATGTTGCTGATAGCTCAGATCTTACTGGGTATAGCTCAGATGTTGCTGGTAGCTGGGATGTTACTGGGTAACTCAGATGTTGCTGGGTAGCTGAGGTGTTGCTGGGTATAGCTCAGATGTTACTGGGTAGCTTAGATGTTGCTGGTAACTCAGATGCTGGTTGGTAGCTCAGATTTTACTGGTAGCTCAGATGTTGCTGGGTAGCTCAGATGTTGCTGGAATACGACTTTTGTAACATAGCATGATGCAATTGATTGTAAACTGAAAGAAATACTTTATTCATGATTTGCCTTAAATGAGAATCTAATGTAAAAACTTTCCTGCACAGCAGTATCACTAAAAACAAGGAAGTTGAAATTGATCGTTTGAGTAATTGTAATGTTATGTCATGTTGTAATGGGGGAAATAGGATTAACCGATCTGATCGAATCCGTTCTTTACAAATCATGACCCGGTGTCAAGGTCCATTTATTATTCTCATACTGCGTGAAGCCCGATACACTCGTATATTTACAATCAGGTAGATCGGACCTACACGATCTTAATGCTGTCGCCTTATCTCTCTTTATATTTAATCTGGAGACATCTCCTTCCCTTGGACTTTGGCAGATAATTCAGTTATTGAAATAGCCTTCTGTAAAATTAAATATATTCTTCGGACTAATTTCTTTCAAAAGTAAATACTATCTCGTAGGAACTATATTTCGTTGATCAATAAATCTCATGTTTGTACTTATCTTAACCGTTCGCGGACATATTGATTCGTAAATTCAGAGTTATTACGAAATAAAAAATAAATCCCCACGACAGTTGATAGTTTTACATTACACATCACGATATCAACAGACAAATTATTGTTACGCGTGGTTTTCCATGATTTCGTTTACGATGTCACACACAACACTGCAAACTCTGTTTGTTTAAATTTCAATAGGGATCATTCAGTATATTCAAAGTGTTCTGGTTCTAAGTAACACAAGTCTATGTAAAAAGTATCGTTAACAATCTGCCCAGTGTTCTACATATTTGATGTGAATTACTGTGAGTGGTATTTCCTTGTTTTTTTCATTGTGCTCTTACTAATGTAAACTAGGTTCCTTGCGATAAACGGAATGTATAATGTGGTGACATTTCATAAGACGAACAGGAACTTTTGAGCCATTATAGACTCGGGGACATTTGGGACTAATTTGATTTATTTCAATATTTAAGATACCTGAGAAATTCTCTTTTATTTCAAAGTTGTTAGCAGTATAAGTGACACATTTTGGTATTGTTGTTTCAACAACCAAAGTGAAAGCAACATATCGGACTTTGTCAGTAAAATGGCATGTGATTTCTTAAAATTCTTCAAATAAAAGATCGGTGTCATCAAAGCAACAGTTCAACATTTTACATTGACGTTCTTATTATCGAATAGCGTCAACGCTTACGAAATGTGAAATTTTACCAGCTATTCAACTAAATAGGTTTTATGAAAACGTTGATGATATGACCATAATAGAAATAGCAACCTTTATTCCTCAGTAATGAAAATATAAACAAATTTACGAGGATTCCAAAAAGTTATTCAAAACTTGTTTCACAGTCAGGAACATAAGTGTTGTCCACTGTATCGGCGAAAGTGAAAACCATGAGAATAAACGGACAATCAGACATAAAGCCTTCACTTCTGAAGCATAGACCCTCAATCTTTTCTATAAAAAGAGGATTCTTAATTCTGGTAACTGCGAAAGGGAGGTAATATGCTTGTTCTCTATCAACGTCAGTAACTATTTTTTTTTATAAAAGCGTTTCGAAGGAATAAAGTAGACGTAGAGTTGGTAGTTAAGTGTCTTATGGTATCAACCATTGACTGCTCACAGATTTTGCAAATTTCTCGTTGTTCATTTGGTATAAAAGTCAACATTTTACGGTCATATAGACTCGGGAAATTTGATACATGAAGCATTAGGTACACATTATGTGTATCTATAACTCGTATATTACTCTTGGTATCCATGGTGTTGTACAAAAGCCCAGTTTTGTTTATGTGTATTGATCCTCTGTGTAACGTCACTGTTATTTGGATGGAATTCAAATACGTTTATAATTTACAGTAGCTATTTAATACAGTAAAACAGTCTACATCTGTATGATTAACCCGATCTATGCATCTTCAGCGCACTCTTTATTTCGCCATCAATAAATCATTTAGTTTCTGTTAAATCCCGTTGTATTACATATTCGCACATATCTGAGTGTGATGATGTTAATAGAAACAGTAACTACAGCTGCTAGAGAATTACTGATTCTCTGTTACACTACAGTTTCTATCTCTGAACAATTCCTTTCTCATGGTGTACAAGTAATAAATTAGGAGTCGTTTTTCTCTGTGTGTATGCCAAACGCTGAAATTTCATTGGTCAGATCTATCATTTATAAATATTGTATATCATCGTCTTGACCATATGTTAGACGAGCATATTTCTCATTTTGTTATCAAAAATAAATAAAGCCTATTATTATTATTAATATTATTATTTATAACGTCTTTGAATAAAATCGCCGTGGAAATTCTTTTTAGTTTGGTGGGCATCATCAAATGATTTTCATATGATACACACTGCTACAAAACTATACTAAAATTTTGTTCACCACTGAATTAAGATAAAATTCGATGAAGATGTGCGATATTTTGACATTTGATAGTCTTTTCGAACTTTTTTAAAACTTAAAAGAATGTAGATTTTCATTCGACAAAATCAAACCAATTTTTACTACGACAAACCGATGTAAACGAGTTGCTTCTTTCACATAAGGATACATGCAGTGATTGATATTGACAAAATATGATTGCCACAGGATATGGAATGCATTTTGCTGGGCAAGGAGACGGATCTGGTTGAAATAAAGGAGACAGGATAATTTTATAAGGTCATATGGGTCGGTGGAAGGGGGTGTCATGACGGGGCGTTTAGTGGTGAAATTATAAACCAAGGAAAAACATACCATGTGATAATGTTTCTTCATTTTGTTTTAGCTTAATGATCAAGGTCATGGAGTGCGTGCAAACATACTAACGGCATACCTATGAAAATAACTGTGCTCCTGGCTTACTATTTTGTGCTTATGTGAAGCTGAATTTATCTCTTTTCTAAGACGAAACCAACATGGACAGCTTTCCACCTAACTTTACGATAAACGTGATGAAATCAATTACCATGTTGTGAATTTTCTGGAAAGCAACGCTCCTGCCTATGATATTCATATGTCAAAGTTGATTCAATATTCAAGATCTCATTCCGATTATCGCTATTTTCGTGGATGAAGTCGTCAACTAGGAGATTTGGTGTTTTATTTGATGGGTAGGGGAATGGGGAGATATGAATCTTAATGTGTATCGCAATCGGGTTGAAATACATTTCTAACAAAGCGGGACAGGCGTGACGCACAACCATATGTAAAAATTTGTTTTTAATTTTCATCGTTGTATACAAAAATTCTTTGCAAACTTTTGTGAAAATCCATATCCATTATGATTTTCACCTCTAAAAATAGGACAAGCCTTATCTATAGACAAAGTGGTAACAGAGGCTCCCCGTTCGGGGCTCCCTTCAATTCATTCCGATTACATCACACAAGTTAGTGTAACTAATGGCACGTGCATGTTACCGTGTTTATACTGGATGCCAGAGCAAATGTAAATATCTGTGAATGAAGTGTGTAAAATAGTTGGATTATCTCTCTTACAACAGTGCCTTTACAAATGAAATATTTGTCTTATATTAACTACAAGATATTGTTATTAAACCTTTGTTAAAAAGTACAATAGATTTTTCTAAATTCAATTAATTTGAATATTGAGCTGGGTGATGAGCCAGAGTGAGACTAAAACATTTCAGCAAATATAGGAAGACATGAATGGCCGTTTTCCTGTAGCTCATTGATATTGGCGATAAATATGCAGTAAGAAACTTGCAAACACATTAGTTTACATAGGGCCAGGAGTACATACGAGGAGGAGGATTTTATGTGTTGGAGGGCCGTTAAGAATGTCAAAATGATAATAATATTTGTGATTAATCCTGATACTCAGAGTGTTAAGTTATTTACAGGAATATGCGCTGAAGAGGAATCTGTATGAATACCGCCATTTCATGAACTATTTTAAATGTTTTTTTTTAATTGTTTTTTCCCGAGATTTGGAACCGACTTGTTAACAATTAAAATGGTGACGTTTATTTAAGCTGAGCGTGAAGAACTCCACTAGAAAATTATTCAAATGAAGGGAAGTTTTTGCAGAAAGAAGCATAATCAATATAGGGGTAAACTTGCTGATCGTTAGGAAGCTGTGAGTAGTGTTAAACCTTTATTGGTCCTAATGTGGTTTCTGTTTTTTTAGCAGAACTGAGAAGAAATTGCTTGCCTTTGTGTATTGGGCCTATATAGCATAATATAA